TTCTCCCATTCTGTCGGTTGTCTTTTGGTTTTGTGGACTGTTTCTTTTGCTGTGCAAAAGCTTTTTATCTTGATGAAGTCCCAAGAGTTCATTTTTGCCCTTTCTTCCCTTGCCTTTGGTGATGTTTCTAGGAAGAAGTTGCTGTGGGAACAGGTCATTTTAAATTATGGAATCTGAGGGGCAAAAGGATAAAAACAATGAAGAGAAGTGAATAGAGCCCAAGGGACATAGTATATAAACAATCAGAGCAATATACACATTATGGGAGTCCTAGAAGAAGAAGAAGAGAGAGAAAGGAGCGACGAGCTTATTTGAAGAAATAATGGCTGAGGAAAAGCAAAACCATATTTCCATTAAATACAGATTTATATAGTAGTATTCATTCATTCATCCATCCATCCATTCATTCATTCAGTATATGGATATACAAATACAAAAGGCTCAATGAACTCCAAATAAGAAAGCCCAAAGAGACCCACACAGAGACACACTGTGATCAAACTACAAAAGCCAAAGACAGAAAGCAGCAAGAGAAAAGTGACTCATCATGTATAAATCTTTAATGAGATTATTAGTGGGTAGCAGACCAGAAGACAGTGGGATTATATATTTAAAGTGATAGGGGAAAACCTGTCAATCAAGAAATTCTATATTCAGCAAAATTATCCTTCAAAAATGAGGGAAAAATTAGGTCAGATAAACAAAAATTGAGGGAATTCATTACCAAAAATTGTTGGCCTATAAGTTCATTTCTCTATAAGAAATGCTAAAAGGAAGGGCACCTGGGTGGCTCAGTTGGTTAAGTGTCTGACTTCGGCTCAGGTCATGGTCTCAGCGTTCTGGGATCGGCCTGCATTGGGCTCCTCAATCAGCGAGGAGTCTGCTTATCCCTCTCCCTCTACCCCTCAACTTGCTCATGCTCTCTCTCTCTCGAATAAATAAAATATTTAAAAAAAGGAAATGCTAAAAGGAGTCCAAGTTGAAATAAAAGGACATCACAGAGTAGCTTGAATACAAAAATATAAAGTTCTTTGATAAATACATGGACAAATATAAAAACCAATATTATTGTAATTTTGGTTTGAGACTCCAGCTGTTACTGTTTTGCAGTATTTAAAAGACAAAAGCATAGAAAATAATTATAGTGTATGTTAACGAGTACACAATATAAAAATATGTAATTTGTGACATCAATAACACAACATGGGGAGATAAGAGGGAGATGGAAAAGATTAGGGGTTTTGTATGCAAATGAAGTTGTTATTAGTTTAAAATAGATTGTTATAACTTTAAGATGTTATATGTAATCCCCATGGTAACCACAGAAATTATCTACAGAATATACACAAAGGGAAATGAGAAGGGAATCAAAACATATCATTACAAAAAAATCAACTAAAGACAAAGAAAGGCAGTAAGAGAGGAAATGAGAGACCAAAAGCTATGACATCAAAAAAACAATTAACAATAAGGTAATAGTAAGTCTTTACTTATCAGTAATCACTTTAAATGTAAGTGCACTAAATTTCCCAAACTAAACTAAAATCCCCAAAAGACATAAATTGACAGAATGGAATAAAAAAAGAAAACAGGATCCAACTATATGCTATCTACAAAACTGTTATTTCTGTATGATGGAATATGACAAACCATCCAAACACTTTCAGAAATTGTTTTGGAATAAAAATTTCACAATACAGTATTAATTTTAAAAAGCAATATTACATTATAATCCAAATGTATACAGTAGTATCCATTCATTCATTCAATATATATTTACTAAATTCTCATTATCTGTTGGGCATTGTTCTTAGACCAAAGGACACAATGGTGAACAAGACATACATATACACACATATATACATGGTTTTAATATTTTTTTAAAGATTTTATTTATTTGAGAGAGAGAGCAGGGAGGGAGAGGGAGAGGGAGAAGCAGACTCCCGCTAAGCAGGGAGGCCGATATGGGACTCAATCATGACCTGAGCTGAAGGCAGACATTAACCAACTGAGCCACCCAGGCACCCTGGTTTTAAATATTTACAGCCAATTATCATTTTTTATTTAAGTAAAATTTCTTATTTTCCCTACGTTTTCTATAATGAGCATGCTTTTTTAAAAAGATTTTATTTTTTTAATTAATTTCCAAAGCATGTCCAGAGTAAAAGTGCAGGCAATGCAGAATCTTATGAACAGAAAAATTTCTTATAAATAGAAAAATGTCTTCAAGTGTCCTATCACATTTTCACTACCTGAAGGTCAACACTGATAATTATCTGGTGTATATTCTTCCAGCAATTTTTTTCCACATATTTGCAAACCTGATCCCACCATATTTGCCCCATATGATTGGAACAAAAGAGTGTATCCCACCTGAGATAAGGTAAGGTTAATATATATGTATATTCACATGTAAGTATTCATATTTATGAAAAAAACAGTGTTATGAAACAATTCTTGCCCAACAGATTACAGAATATTTAGCAAGTGTAATGACTAGTTATGTACATTACATAAGGGCAGCAGAGTATGTAATATTATTGTAGGAGTTTTAAAAATGATGGAAAAGCTGGTAGGAAATATTTGTTGCTCAGAACTCAGGCAGTATTTTAGACCCTAACTCTTACAACTTGAAGAAGATATTGCTTACGCAGTGATGGATTTTTGTGTTAAGGATTAATCTGATAATGTGATACTCACATAAAGCTGTTTTCCCAGAAGATAGAAACACCCTCTAAACTTGGAGTTGAAATTTAAATTTTATGTGGTAATGTTTGAAGCCAAAGGAAATTGTGAAATAGTTTCAAAAGATAAAATGCTTAGTATTTAACTTAGCAATAAAAAAGATGAACAACAAATACACAGGGATAAATCTTAAAAACAATAATGTTGAATCAAAGAAATCAGACACAAAAGGGTATATCTTGTATTATTCCATTTCTATGAAACCGTAGGAAAGAGAAATATAATCTCCAGTAGCAGCTGATCAGTGGTTGCCTGGGGCTCAGAGTGGCGCGGGTAGGGACTGACTAGGAAAGAGCAAAAGGAAACTTCTGGGGTGACAGAAATGTTCTAAAACTCCAAGTTTACACTAAAAAGGTGTGCATTTCATTCTATGTAAATTATACATCAACATAGTTGATTTAAATAACAAAAACCTACATAGCTACTCCTTGCTAATCTCTAACTAAAATATACTTTGAAGAAGGAAAATTGGAAACCTAGATCAATTACTTTAAGTATTCAAAAATGAGATGATTCTTTCTGAATATCAAAACACGTGAGAGGGGCACCTCGGTGGCTCAGTTGGTTAAGTGTCTACCTTCAGCTCAGGT